CCCATCACAAGCCAGCAAAACATCCACGAAACAAAGAAAGGTCTGTCACAGCCAAAAAATACACTCCAGACACGCCGCTGGCACTAGAGGCACAGCATGGCCGCGTATATATATATATATCTGTGTGTGTGTGTGTGTGTGTGTCTTTATATGAGCCCGTAGGCTGTGTATATATTTGTAATGTGTGTGGACCCGTAGCAGACGCTGCTCCCTACATGGAGCATCTGCGAACTGAGTACCAGTGAGAGGTGCTCCTATCACCTCCACCAGTACCTGTTTGAGCTATATATGTGTAGGTAGTGTGTATCCCCCTAAAAGCACCTTGCCTCGACGCTGCAGAGGGGCAACCCTATGCGCCCTTAATCTGTTGCCAACAAATAGACAGCCCTCCTCTAGAACCTGCTAATCAGCTAGGGCTCCTCCCCCCCAAAAAGAACCCATGCCTCGCTTTGTCTATCCTCGGTAGTAGACTGTCTCCGACCTATCAGCAGATTCCGGTCATCGGCTAGGTACTTCCTATAGGGATCGGAAGGGACAGACTACAGACTCAGTACGCAGTGGGCCATCATCCGTCCTTCCACTAGCCCCCAGCCTTGTCCCTCTGATATGCCTATCGTGATCACTGTAGCTGTAGTCAGTATCTGGGGTAGTGTCTCATGTGTGTGTGTAATATGCGGTAGAGACAGGCCTATCTGGACAGCACCCCCGCAAAGTCCGGAACCAGACTTGAACCTGTAACCTCCAGTATGAGACTGGAGGGTTCTACCACATGCACTACCATAGGAAGTGGATATAGGGCCTCGCTGGACTACTCGTGAATCTTGAAAAATCAAGAGTTCATCACCGCTGCACTAACTCTTGATGGCCCATCCTGGATTTCTATTCAAGAGCTGTCAGATTCACTCTCGAAAACGTCAAGAGTGAGTCATCGCTGCACTAACTGTGGAAAACTGCTCTTGGTCCGGCGCTTCAAGAGGTGTCAGAAATGGCCCATCGGACGAGCTCTTGAAGTTTCCACAGTTCCCACCTGCAGGAGCTTTTTTTTCAAACGAGGGTGACGGGTCCCTTCATGCGGTTTGCAAATTCGAGAATTGGCCTCCGGTCTCAGTGGACAAATCATCGCTGCCCTGTCGTGTAGTGTCTGTCCTACAGTCGAGAATGCCACGAGAGTCGAGAGTCCGGAGGAAGTGCAGCGACGACAGCACTTGATGCCAATCCAGGAGTCTGACAGCGCTAGATGAACTCTTGAAAACTTTCATGTGTCTAGCGTAGTGCAGCGAGGCCCATAATGTGTGAAATATCTAGGTTGGGGGAGATCATCAGAGCGACCAAAGCCACAAGCAGCAAGCAACCAACGTGAAGTCTAGACCAGCATACAACACCCATGAACTAACCCCCTGGGTGGTGCGCAGGCAGTGTCTGTAATAGTACCATGCGTCAGCCCAGGGGAGTGAGTGACGCATACGGGAGTGTTTGTCCAGCCGTGTGTCATTCTAACGCCCTGCCGGTGTCCATGCGCAGGGCTGCAATTGGGTTCGAACTGAGTTTCGAACCCGCAACCTCTTACCACAATGCACATTTCCAACCGGTGCTCTAACCACTGAGCTACATCAACTGGACGCCGTCAGCCCAGGGGAGTGTGTGACGCATATGGGAGTGTTTGTCCAGCCGTGTGTCATTCTAACGCCCTGCCGGTGTCCATGCGCAAGGCTGCAATTGGGTTCGAACTGAGTTTCGAACCCGCAACCTCATACCACAATGCACATTTCCAACCGGTGCTCTAACCACTGAGCTACATCAACTGGACGCCTTCTCCTTGTTTTTCTTTCATTCTGTTGTTGGTTGTTTTTCTTCTTTTCATCTTTTCTTTCCTTTCTCGGAAGACAAACTGCACACCAGTATTACAAGACGTGATTGCCAAAAAACGGAAAACAACAGAAACTTAAGCCTGACTTCATGCATCTAATTAACTAATTAATTGCGGCCTCCCCCCAGGTGCTAGCGGTGTCTGCTCTTATCAGCACCACTAGCAATGGCGGGGGGGTGTTTAAAAAAAAAAAAAAAAAAAAAAACTAATTAGTTGCCTGCTCTGTCTGCATATCTGAATGTGTGCCGCTGTTCATAGGAAGGTTGACCTAGACGTGATTGGCAGCACCACAAAAAAAAAAAAAAAACAGACGAAAAGCGTGATTGCGTGCGTTGGTTTAATTATTATTTAATTGCCTAGTACTCCGTCACTTTGTGTACTCTGTGTGCATCCCTTAATGTCTGTCCTTGTTCATATAGGAAGGTTGGCCATTCCTTCGCAGAACGGCCAACTCTGCGAAAGAAAGAAGAAGGCATTGCGAAGAAGAAGACCTAGCCACCGAGCCAAGGAGAGGAAGAGGAAGGAGATTCTAAAGACTGCAGTTCAGGACAAGGAGAAGGCCTGGAGGAAGAATAAATTATGAAGGCGTCTCCAGTTGTGGCTATGGCCGTGCTTGGGGTCGTTGGTTTGGTACTGCTAGCAGGATGCTCTTTCACAATGGCGGAGTTCGATGAACCACAGTGGCGATGCTGGCAGAATACAGATCATGATCCCGCTACCTACTTGAGAATCTCATGTATAGGAGAATCTGATGCGTACGAGCTGGAAGGGTGTCAAGAACAGTGTTGGGATGACTGTGCGGGAGTTGTGCACATTGCCAACAGAGCCGAGTGGCAGGATGGAACCAGGTGCTGCTTCCTCAAGACCAGAATCCGAGAGAGCAAACTCAAACCCCAGCAAGGCCGCACCACCTGCAAGAAAATATAGACAGAAAACTACGGCGCAGTCAGTGTTTGAGTTTGAAAATGCACTTGAGGCAAAAGGGCACTCTGTGTGTGTGTGTGTGTGTGTGTGTGTGTGTGTGTGTGTGTGTGTGTGTGTGTGTGTGTGTATTGAGTGGAAGGGTTGAGTTTCCGTAACTCTGTGTTACGGAATGGTGG